AAGGGTCGAGGCCTGAAACGTCAGCCTTCCTGCTCCTGTGATGCTGCTTGGCCTGCTGTGTTCATCCAGCTCTACACCTTATTATCTAAGTGCAATTATGTTGAGTTTCAAAGAGAACCACTTTTTTGAAGGCTCCCAATGATTCTCTCAATGTTGAAGTCATCAATGTAAAATTCATCCTGGAGTATAATTTGTCAGGTCAGAATGTCAGGTGAGTAATTGCTGTTGGTGTAACGATACAGCTTTTTGAATGCTTTCTGCAAATTGGTAGAAAATGGGTTGGTGTGTAACTTCTCATAATTGTCTGTAGCTGTGATGAAGGACCAAGTAAAAGCTGGAATTTTTTTTGCAAGGATGTGGCAACTTGTGCATGTAAATCTCTGTTGTCCATTCACTCCAATTCCATATGTATTCAATAGGTACTGTTTGGTTCATAGAATTCTTACTATTGTACTTAAAATTTGAATCAAGTGTGTGATTTTTTAAAAAATAATCTATTTTACTTTCTTTGTTTATTCAAGTTCCTCGGGGAATATGGTTATCCACAACCTGTTTCAACAAAGAGTCTGCAATCGCCCAGTTCCAAGGAGTTTTTGAAGATCTTTGCCTTTATATATAACCTGATTGATCAATCTTACCAGATGCCCGATTCAAAGTTTGAGGAAGAGATTCCTAGAATCTTCAAATCTCTTGGGTAAGACTGGAAACATTGAAGTTATTCTGTTTTCAGATCTACAATGTATATGTCAGGTTGGCTGCAATATTATCTTCAGAGTGAGACGACCCCACTGAGAGCATGAACGTGTGGTCCAGGTTGACTATACAGTGGTGCTTCATTGCTGCCTTGAATGCCAGTGGTGTCATCCTTAAAATGAAATTTTGAATCATTTTGACTGACCTGAGTCATTTTGACTGACCCAAGTCATTGCAAGAGTGCTATAGATGTCTCTGGGAAATTTTTTTCAGAAAAAAAAGTGTTCTGAGCAACACTAAGTCACAGGATCACAAAAGCATTCAAACTGGCAGTTTGTATAATTGGTTTTGTGTAATTTTGATCCACATAAATTGCCTATTCTTCAATCATGCAACAACCAATGTCTCAACTTCAGTGTGAGGTGTCACAACAAGTTGGGAATGATGAGATGCATATTCCAGATGAAAATTTGGATAAATCCATCATTCATTAAACAGTTTTGTAAAGCTCATGACAAATGTATGTTTTCACATCACTTACTTATTAATCTTAACCACCTGTACAGAGTACAGTTCATTAGCTTTCTGACCAAAGTTCACACAATAAGGAGCAGTGGAGAGAGCTTCTCTGAAACGTGTTCATGCCAAATTTATGGCAAAATGAAATCATAGCAACCCAAAAGCAAAGTATTGTAGATGTTGGAAATCTAAAATAGAAATAATGAATGCTGGAACTATTAGCAGGTCAGGCAGCATTTGTGAAAAGAAAAGCAATTAACATTTTAGGTTTGTATTCCAAAATAAGGTCACAGACCTGAACCATTGAAATACAAAACCTTTGCTCTTAAAAAGGTATCCTTCAGAATTGAAGAGAAAAGACCATGATTTTAATCAATTCTGCGTGCATCAGTTTATTTTAGAAAATTGTGATGGTCTTCAAAAGGGAAAGAAGGACAGAATAACAATATTGACCAAGGACACTTGGATCCTTCAGGGAGATGTTGGCAGTCTACATTCAGTCTTACTAAGAGCAGAATAGAAAAGGATGCTAGATTTTGGTGAGAGTTTATAGGCTTTCCGTGATTTAAGTAGTGGGATACAGAAATATTTTGCACAAGGTTGTAATAGAAGACATTAATTTTTAATGTGGAAACAGTTAGAATCCCAAAGACATAAATTCCTTATGTTCTGAAACCATACATTCTGTACCAATTAGAGAACAAAGCCATCTTATATATGACAAGCCTGCATTAGAACAAAGAACAGTACAGCCCAGGAACAGGCCCTTCAACATACCAAGACTGCACTGACATATACCTTTCTAAACTAAAAGCCTTTTGCCTCTAAGCTGTCTGTATCCTTCTGTTCTCTGCCTATTCATATAGCTGTCAAGATGCCTCTTAAATGCTGCTACTGTATCCACCACCTCCCCTGGCAGTGCAATCCAGGCACATACCACCCTCTCCAAAGTAACAAAACTAACCTACTTCTCAAAGTTTTAAACCTACCCCTTTTACCTTAAACCTATATCCCCAAGTAACTGTCATTTTTACTCTGGGGAAAATGACTGGCTATCCATTCCATATGTCTCTCAATTTTGTGAACATTTTTCAGGTCACCTTTCATCCTTTGACGTGCAAGTGAAACCAAGTTTGTCCAATCTCTCCTCATAGCTAATAGCTTCCAAACTGGGCAACATCCTGATAAACTGTTTCCGTGCACTCCCTAAAGCCTCCACATCTTTCTTGTAGTGTAGTGACCAGACCTCTACGCAATATTCCTAATGTAGCCTTACTAAAGTTTTATACAGCTGCATCATGACTTGCCAATTTTTATACTCTGTGCCCCAACTGACACAGGCAAGTGTGCCATATTCTTAATACTTGAAAGTATTAAGGAAAAATTGTCCCCTGATGCTGAAAGGATCTATCCCAGAATATTGAGGGAGGCAAGAAAACAAATTGCTGGAGCATTGACAGATGTCTTTGTATCCTGTTTGGCCACAGGTGAGGTGTCAGAGGACTGGAGAATAGCCACTGTTATCCCTTTGTTTAAGAAGGGTAACAGGGATAATCCTGGAAATTACAGGCTTGAGAGTCTCACATTGGTGGTAGGGAAATCATTGGAAAAGATTCTCAGGGAGAAGATCTATATGCATTTAGAAGCAAATGGACTTTTTAGCAAGAGGCAGCATGGTTTTGTGTGGGGGAGGTTGTGCCTCACTAACTTGATCAAGTATTTTGAGAAGGTGATGAAGATTATTGAGGGAAAAGCGGTTGGACTTCACTAAAACCTTTGACAAGGTCCTTCATGGTAGACTGGCACAAAAGTGAAGTCACATGGTATCAGGGTGAGCTGGCAAGATGGATACAGAACTGGCTTAGTCATAGGAGATAGAGGGTAATGGTGGAAGGATGCTTTTCGGAATAGAGGGTTGTGACTAATGGTGTTCCACAGGGATCAGTGCTGGGACCGCTATATAAATGATTTGGACAAAAACATATTTGGTCTAATTAGTAAGTTTGCGGATGATACAAAGATTGATGGAGTTGCGGATAGTGAGGAGGATTGTCAGAGGATACAGCGGGATATAGATCATGTGGAGACATGGGTAAAAATATGGCAGATGGAGTTTAATGTGACACCATTAGTTACCCTCTATCTCCTATGACTAAGCCAGTTCTGTACCCATCTTACCAGCTCACCACAGATTCCATGTGACTTCATCTTTTGTATCAGCCTGCCATGAGAGACTTTGTCAAAGGCCTTGCAAAATCCATATTGACAACATCTACTGTGAGACACCAACCTTCCTCACACAAAGCCATGCTGTCTTTCGTGAATAAGTCTTATCTTTTTCCAAATGGAAGCAAATCTCAAACCTAAGAATCTTTTCTAATAATTTCCCTACATAAGTTTCATTGGCCTGTAATTTCCTGGATTACGTTGCCCTTCTTAAAAGGAACAACAATGTCTATTCTGCTGTCCTCTGGGACCTCTTCTGTGACTAACGACAATTCAACGACTTCGTACAAGGCCCTAGCGATTTCATCAGCTGCCTTCCTCAGCATTCTGCAATAGATCCCATCAGGTCCTGGGAATTTGTCTATCCTTAATGCTTTTCAAAATGTTCAATACTACCTCCTGTTTTATATTAACATGCCGTAGAATATCAATATACCCCTCCTGAAACTCACCATTCACCATGTCTTCCTTTGAATACTGATGCAAAGTATTAGTTAAGGACCTCACCCACTTGCAACTCCATGCATAAATTACAAACTATGTTCTTGAGTGGACCTACCCTTTCTCTAGCTACACATTTACTCCTCATATGTTTAAAATGCCTTTAGATTTTCCTTCTGTTTGCCAAAGACATTTCATGGCTCCTTTTAGCTCTCCTAATTTCTTTTTGAATTCTATCCTGCTGTCTTTGTATTCTTCAAGAGTTCTGACAGTCTTCAGTTTCCTAAACATTACGTATGCCTCCTCTTTCTTTTTGACTAAGCTCTCAATTTCCCTTGTCATCCAAGGTTCCCGAATCTAGCCATCTAATCCTTCATTTTCACAGGAGCATGTTGTTCCTGATCTCTAACAAACTGGCCTTTAAAAGATTGCCATATGCCAGGTGTGGATTTACTCTTAAAAAGCCACCCCCAGTCTGCATTGCACAGGTCATGCATAATATTATGGTAGTTACCTTCCCCTAATCTGATACTTTCACCTGAGGACTACTTTTTCCATAAGTAATGTAAATTTTACAAAATTACAGTTACTGATCCCAAAATGCTCCCCCTTTGAAACTTTGATCACCAGGCCGTGCTCATTTCCCTAGTTGAACTATTTACTAGTTCAGAAATTTCAAAACAGAACATTCGGGACACACCTAACAAATTTCCCCCATGCAAGCCCTTGGGTCTAAAGGAGTCCCAGTCAATATAGAGAAAGTTAAAATCACCTGCCACCACAACCTTTTTTTTCCATTTTTCCATAATTTGTTCACATATCTATTCCTGTCTCACCCGCTCGCTGTTGGGAAGCTTTGTAGTGCAATCTCAAAGTGATGCACCCTTCCTATTCCTGAGCTCTACCCATATGGCCTCGCTGGATAAGCCGTCTAATGTGACCTACCTCACTACAGCTGTAATATTCTCATCAGTAACGCAACCCCCTCACTGCTTTTACATCCCTGTCTCACCTAAAACATCTAAATCCAAGAACTGCCCAGTCTAGTCCCTCTCTCAACCAAGTGTCTGTAATAGCTACAATTTCATAGTTCTATGTATTAATCCACGTGCTAAGTTCATCTGCCTTAGCTGTCATATTATTAAAACAAATACACCTCTGAACACAACAGGCCTGGCATTCTATAATCTCTCCTTGTATGTTCTTCCCTCTTACCCTTACTGGCCTTAGCCTCTGACTCCTTGGTCATTTTACATGCTGACCTACTACTCTGGCTCCTACAGCTCCTGCCACACCAGTTCAAACCTATGCCACGAACAAACCTCCCTGCCAGGATATTGGTGACCCCCCCTTCTCTCCCCCACCCAGTTTAGGTGTAACCCATCCTTCTTGTACAAGTCCCACCTGCTCCAGAAGACATCCCAATGATCCACATACCTGAAGCCCTCCTTCCTATACCAGCTTCTTAGCCATGTATTTAAATGTACAATTTTCCTAATCCTAGCCACATTGCACATGGCCCAGAAGGTAATTGAGATTGCAACCATAGAGGTCATGCTTTTCAACCTCATACCTAACTTCCTGAACACTCTCTTTGCAGGACCTCATCTCTCTTTCTGTCTATGTCATTAGAACCAATATGGACCACAGCCTTTGGCTGCTCACCCTCTTCTTTCAGAATATCCTATGCCTGCTCAGACATCCTTGGCTTTGGCACCAAAGAATCATAGAATCCCTACTGGCAATTTGGCCCATCAGGTTCACACTGCCCCTGACAAGAGCATCCCTTCCAGGCCCATCCCCCTATGTTATCCAGGTAACCATGCTTAATCCACCTAGCCTGCACATCCCTGGACACCAAGGGCAATTTTTAGCATGGCCATTCACCTAACCTGCACATCTTTGGACTGTGGGAGGAAACTGGAGCACCCAAAGGAAAATCATACAGACATGGGGAGAATGTGCAAACTCGACTTAAATGGTCGCCCAAGGATGGAATCGAACCAGGTCCCTGACGCTGAGAGCTAGCCACTGAGCCACCATGCTGCCCCGTGCAAAACACTATCATGGAGTCTTGCTTATGGCTATAGAAACATCTTTGCCCCTAACTACAGGGTTCTCTATCACCACTGTTCACCTACACTCTATCCTCCCTGCTGTACAACAGAGCCAGTCGTGTTGCCACTGACCTGGCTGCTGCTTTCCTTTGAGATGACATCTTTCCCAGTAGCATCTAAAATTCAATTAGTCTTTATCTCACAGTAAGGAAGCATTTAAGTAACAAGCATATAATTAAATCCAGGTATGAAAGAAAAGGGCAAGTCACGAACCAAGATTTTAAATATAGTAGGAGATATGTATGAATTTGCACAATTAATGGGGAACATTAACAATAAAACAGTAGAATACCAGTGGGAGGAGTTCAGAAAATGCCCATTCTGCTAAAAGGAAAGAGCTGTACTCATTTCATAAAAAACACTGAGACAGACAATATGAGTCTAATAGGAAGAACTCATATGAAGACTAACACTGGAGATTCTACAGGATGAATCAGAGGTCTGCATCAGTCGAAAACAGCTATTTAAATATTCTAATCCATTTTTCAGCACTTGGCCCATAACCTTCTATGCCTTGGTATCACAAGCGCACATCCAAATACTAATGTTGAGGGTTTCTGCCTCTCCCACCCCTCCAGGCAGTAAGTTTCATATTCCCACCACCTAAGTGAAGAAATGTTTTACTCTCACCACCTCGAAACCTTACATCTATGCCTTGGTCATTGATCCTTCAACCAAGGGCAAAAAGAAAGATATGACAAACAGCAAAAAAAAAATGGTAGGGGGGACTTGATTATCCAGACAAATGAATAAAGGCTTGCAAGACACGAAGAACCAGTGACAGGTGAAGTCCTTCAGGCAAATTAAAGCTAGGAAGGAGATTAGGAAGCTGGACCTTAGAAGTTGTAATCTTGTAAGATCTTTGAGCCATTTGCTAATGAATACAAAAGTAGGAGGGTATATGTACAAGGAGTAGGATATTCATTAAGGTCATTATTAATCTGATAGTCACCTCAAATCCACATTCCCACCTACCCCTTATAACCTTTCACCCTCTTGAGGGCCAAGAATCTGCCTTTAAAATATTCAAACACTCTGCTTCCACCACTTTTTCAGGAAGAGTGTTCCAGAGGTTCACAACTCAAAAAAAAATTCACCTGTCTCGGTTTAAAGTGGACAACTCTTTTTGAATAGTTATCCTTAGTTCTAGGGCTGTACCCTGTTGAGACCAATCGGGATCTTTTATGTTTCAATCAAGTTGCCTCTTATTCTTCATAACTCAAGTAGGTACAAGGCTAATATGTCCAAATTATTAGATGAATGCATAGCTGGAGTGGTGGTGTAGGACGTATTCTGGAGACATTGTGGGAACAGTTCTGTGAATGAGGACTTATCCAGGGTGGATGGGTTGTGATTCAAAACCAGCACCTATATCTTGGGAGAGCAGACTGGTAAAAGTACCGTAAAGATGTTAGCACAGTGTGGAGGGAGAAAAAAAAATAGGCCAATTAAGATACTCTGGGAGCATTACCACTTGCAAGATTGCCTCCAGGTCATATACCGTCCTCACTTAGAAATATATTGCTAATCCCTCACTCTTGGTATGCCAGAATTTTGAAACTCCTCCCTAAAAGTAGTGAGTGTACCTACATGCCAAAGGACGCAACAATTCACAGAGGCAATTCACTACCATCAAGCAGAGCAGCAATGATTTGATGTTTCACATGCTTACTCGAGTTAATGTAAATTTGGTAAGACAATGTTACATGGTTGGGTACAATGGTGTCAAAAGAAGTGAATTTCTTTCTTTGTTGACTTAAGGTATCCTTTTCCATTGTCAAAAAGTTCAATGTATACAGTAGGAGCTCCACACACTTGGCCACTGATTCTTGGTGCATTGGTTTGGCTGATGGATAATGTTAAGGTAAGATTCCCTAATCCTCATAAACAAAAATTTGGAATTGCATACGGTAAGTCCTCACAGTACATACAATAAGTTGTTGTGTTCCTGAAAATTGTGACTTTTAAAATGGACCAACTTTAAACAAATTGGAGGTTCCCATAGGCATCAACATTAAAGTCTGAGTTAGGTTCCTTGGGATGTTTCTCACACAGCAAACAAAAGAAACATGTTCAAATAGGGTACCAAACATGAGCTGCACTGTACATTCCTGGCTACAATAACTTGCAACATAAAATACTTCAATAAATGTACGGTGAAAGAAACAATACCTTGGAGGAGGGTTCAACGATCAGGGGTATAGAATTAAAGTTTAGAGAAGATGAGGGGAAAAACTTCTCACCCAGAGGGTGATGGGAATCTGGAACTCGCCTGGAGGAATGGTAGAGGCAGAAACCCTCCTAACACTATTTAGATGTGCTCTTACTTCCAAGGCATGGAAAGCTACAGGTCAAGTGGTGAAAAAAATGGGATTACAAGAGTTAGGTGATGGTTTTTGATCAGTGCAGGCTCTGAACCATGGCGCTTTCTCGGTGTTGTAAGCCTCAATGAATCTAATGACAAATACAGTAAGAATTCCTTCCGTCCGGCATTGTGGGTCAACTCCAGTGGTTCAAGAAGCATCTCAAGGGCAACTAGGGAACTGCAATAAATATTGGCCAGCCAGTGACAACATCACCCCCACCCTGCCCCCAAAACTAGGTTCCACAGTGATTTTTAAAAGAAAATACTGTACTTGACAAAATATAATCAACAGTATACTTTCAGATTGACCCACTATCTAGTGGCAAAAATTGATTGGTGCAGCATCAGCTGGAATCTATGTACCAACTAACTCTTGCCAATAGATGGAGTCCAAGACTGGTGCATTCTGGCTGCTCTGCTCCTGGAGAAGAACTGTCAGGAAGAGAGGGTGGGAGGCAAGTTTTTGTGGGAGACAAGATTAGAGCAACAAGGCCCAGCAATGACATGGAATGGGGTGTGGTAGATGCAGGTCAAGGCCGGGAGCTAAGGCAGGAAGAAAGGCTGAGAGTCATGAGAGAAGGGGAAAGGGGGACTAAGGGGCAAGATCAGAAACAATGTGGGCATGACTATCTGAGAAGATGGCACAGAATGGGTTGCCTTAAGAGGAATGGTGATGTGAAACTGGCAACAGTAAACAGTTGTACTGATGCTACTTTATCAACAATGTTAAAACTGAATAACATTCAGTGAATCACCTTTTATCTATGTTATTTTGAGAGATTAAGGGTAAAATTCCCTGCCACGCCCATGTATTTTGAACTGACTGCCTTCCTTATTGGGCTTGACAGGTACTGATTGTGAATAATTTCCTGAATGAGCTTCAGAAGTCTGACTTATCTCTGCCCTTTACAATATTGCTATCCCAAATTAGCAAAGATTCTTGATTGTCAACAGACTAATTTTTGAACTGACAAATTTGGCCTTCCCTGTCTTTTCCCATCTGCTGTCCTGTTGAATACTCAATGTGGGATAATGATCGCTTGATTATTTGTCAGCTGTAACCACACATTCTGAACTGGAACCTCAAGGATATCCTCCCTCTCCAAGAGTATACCTCAGGCAATAATTCTGAGCATGATACCCTTGAGAACCTTTTTCTTTAAAAGAAAATTAGTTCCTGCTACCCTATCAACAACACTTTTGTATTTGTTCTTTCCCATGCAGGCTTCACCTTTGATTTTGATAGTTGATTCTTCACCTTCCAAGTTATTTTCCAGTGTTGAAATATCTCTTACTTTGACCCCAACTTAAGCAATCCACCCTGTTAGACCTGATCACATCACATCTATTTTTGAGCCGTTAGAAGGATACTGTCAGTGAAGTGTTAGCAATTGTGTTTTTGCATGCAGGAGTACCTTTATCGACTGTGCAACATTTGATAGCAGTTCTAAATGCTTCACAAAAGATGCTGATTAGATTTGGAAGTGTAGTCTCTGGTCAATAATGCTCATATAAACATGACTTGAATAATTGTTCCTTTTTACTTTGCCCACAGCTGATTAACTCTATTGATCCGGATAAGATCCTGTTTGGTGCTGATAAGGACTGGGATGTAGTAGAGAATGTGACTGATGATGGTGTTCATAATAATAGGGTACGTAATTGCTAATTATCCTCATGATATGTCCAATTCATCAGCTGGCTTTTGCCATTGAGATGGTACTCAAATACATTATCAACTTTTAGCAATTTTGTAATTTTTTTTTAAGCACTACATTATTGGGAACAGAAAGTGTTGATATATAAATAGGGAAGAGCAAATGTTTAGTTAAATACAAACGTGACAAATGCTGTCATGAGTTTTGCAGCTTCAGCATTCATTATCTTCGCAAAAACGGCATTTATCTCTTGGCAACAAGGTGCAGGGCTGGATGAACACAGCAGGCCAAGCAGCATCAT